CCTCGTTTGTTGTCCTCTTCTCCCTCTCTGCCTACGGTTTACCGGGCAGTTCTATTTGACGATATATATATATATATATATATATATATATATTTGACGATATATATATATATATATATATATATATATACGTTCACATTCTGTGAAAACAAAATGAACATACCGATTTCATTGAGTTGTAGAACTGAGTTGTATGCCTGAGATGTATGGTCTATGAAAATAGAATGACGATACTGAGTTGTATGACTGAACTGTCTGGCTGAGTTGTATCGCGGAAAGTTGTGTCGCTGAGGGGTATTGCTGAGTTCTACTCTATCTTGGAGTTGTACTCATAAGTTGTATTGCCGAGATGTTCTCTCGAGTTGTACTCTGAGTTGTGCTCTGACTAGCGTTGCTGAGTCGTGCTCCGAGTTTCGCACACAGATATGATAGATCATAGATCACAGTATCATTATTTGCATGCTGAATTTTACCACTTTACTCTCATTATTAGTGTGTTTACAGTCTTAAGACAGAAGACCCATCCGTGAATGGAAAATCCGTCTTCGTATGTGATCATTGAGCGGTCGATTGCAATAGGCTGAATTTTTGGGTATCCACTATCCCAAATGGAAAGATTCACATATCCGTTTGGCTATATATATCCCAAATGGAATGTTTCGATTTCCGTTTGGCAATCCGGTCCTTTCTTCTTCTTTTTTTTCGTCCTTTTTTTTTTGGTTCCTTGTGCAAGGGCCATGCTAATCTTCTCTGGATTGCTCCAATTTTAATGGATGCCTGGATGGACTTGGCTATGTGTGCAAAACGCGGAGCACGACTCAGCAACACTACAGTTTTCACCCGAAAATAACGCCCGGGCGTTATATTCAACTTACCCTAAAAACATGAGATTTTCGTTTTTACTCACTTTTTTAAAGTTTTTTTAAAATAAAACGCCCCTTCAAAAGAGTGCCTTGAAGAGGTAGTATACATGGGTTTTAAAGTGTGGGGAAGGGGGTATACATGGGTTTTGAAGAGGGTTGAATAGGGTTTTTACTTCCAAGGGTTGAATGAGGTTTTTTCTTCCAAGGGGTATATTTAAGGAATTCTGAAGTGACCCTCAGCCAAAAGTTGGTCGCATTCCAATCCTGGACAACATTTTTTTTTTTTTCATAAGTTATTTATTTATTTATTTTTTCGGAATTTTGGGGCCTCACCGAAGTTACCACAAATTTACTGAATATAACGCGCGGGCGTTATAAACGAATATAACGCCCGGTGGGCATTATATTTGTACACAACGCCCGGGGTTATTTTCGGGTGAAGACGGTAGTCAGAGCACAACTCAGCAACACTAGTCAGAGCACAACTCGAGAGTACAACTCCAGAGAACATCTCGGTCATATTTGCATTTGGCTATATCCATCCCAAACAGATAGAAACGGAATATCTGCATGCGAGAAGAAATTATGGTGGAATTTGAAGATAACTGTTGAAGGAGTCCTTATCGATTCATATGCATTAGCTATGGATCCGTACATCGGCCTCAGACCTCTCCTCCCCGCATGCACGGAACCGAACCGGTGCGCTTGGCCCCAAGAGCCAAGTCTCTTGACTACTACAGCCAGGACACAGTGTTAGAACCATACAAAGAAGCGGTTGCAATGCAGCTGCACTTCGGCAAACAACGGTTCATGGCCTTTAATGTTCGTTTTGCTTGCTGTTTGACTTAACTAGTGATGCATTTGTACAGGCTGGTACTCATAAGAGAGGAATACGAAAGGACTTTGACAGGCTTATGGTCTCATAGCAGCCATAGATGCCACACGTATCAATTTTGCTGTGCGTTAGAAAATGGTTTGATCAGCTTCGAGTGGATTATATAACATTGCCTAGGTTAAGCAGCTTAACAAGCTCCTTAACATGGATATGTAAGTTTCCTCCTAGACATGTGTAAATGTTAACTGGGTAGTCTGGGTTAATAAAGTCCTTTAACGACACGACTATCAATTTTCTCCCAGATATGGGTACATGTTAACCAGGTTAACTAGCCCCTTAACATGGGTAACAATGCTCTTTGGGAAGGTACAAACTTTCTCCTGGAGATGGGTATACATTAACCGGGTTAAAATGGGTACCCCTTAACAGGGAACTATCCTTACGCCAATCATCAAACGCTAAGGGACATGAGCACATCACTCGTCTCTCAGCATCGAGCCTATCACTCTGCAATCTTTTCTGTCAATTTGCCTCCTCTGGCTTGTTCTGTGATTCGTTTTGTTTGCTCACTCGTTGGTTCATGGAACTCCACTCGTGTCTTGACCTTGCCTACATAGTACATACCTATGTTTATGTCACTTTGTGAAATTAGCAAAGTAAAGACTTCTTAACTTATGATGATGACCTGTAGTTTGATAAAAGGCCTCATTTGTTTTTGGAATTGTTATGGAATTGTTATGGAAATGTTCTGCAGTTCTGTTAGTTGTAACTTAGTTCCGTAAAGTCCCAGTGGCTCATAGTGAAGTCACTTCACGAGCGGAAGTGCAGTGATTTTTGTCATGGTTTTAGGCTTTTAGCTTGTCTGGATCCCTTTTGCGCACATACGAAAACAATAGAAAGCAGCAAAGGACATTTCCAAGAGTTTTGCTGAGCTTATAACATCTTCAAGGGAGGGAGGTCCGCAGAAGGGTTGAGGGGGGCGGGGGAGGGGGGGTAGTTTTGCGAGGGCTTCAGGTAACAGACCTGTCACGGATTCCGCAGCCTAATGTGCATTTACTGGTCTGTGCAACGGCTACCATGGCATCACGCGCTCTGCGAAGAGTATTGCCAGACTGACAAATTTCATAGGTTTGCAAGTTCGCATCTTGATGACGTCGTGACGATTATCCTTTTTGACATTTTTTTTAACTTTTTAAAACTTCTTTTGTTTTTGTTTCTTTTTCTTATCGTTAACCATATATCTGCTTGTTGATATGTCTGGCAACTGTGCAGGATATCCTTGCGCGATTCCATCGGATGAACGGCAGCCCAACGCTTTGGCTACCTGGTACTGACCATGCAGGGATTGCAACACAGGTATGTGTGCGGTGTCATGGGCTCCCTACTGAACAAGTAGCGCCTCATTATTATGGACCTAGCAGTCTGTAGAGAGAATGCTCTCTAGGCTACGTACTGATGTCAGTGACCAGTGGGGGGTTTGCTGGCTTATGATGGGGTGTGAACCTGGCAACCTGCAAAGGCAGCGGTCGGGGCCATCGCTAGGTGGCCTAGCTCATTAGATGTTTCATGGGGTTTTGCTGACTCTGTACTTGTGTGCCTAGCTTCACACAGGTATGAGCTGAGCGTCCTAGACCCCGACCACTGCGTTTGTCGAGTGAGGGTCTTGCTGGCTAATGATGGGGTGTGAACCGGCAGTCTGTAGAGTTTTCCGCCTGGTGTGGGTGAGTGGTAGTCTGCTTTGTTTTTCATCACAGGTACCCTTGAGGGCAGTGGTTGGTGGTCCCCACCCCTCAGGAGGTAGCAGTTGTGGGGCAGTCGTTGCTGCTTAACCCCAACCGGGGTTAAGGTGGGTTATCAATTACAGTATCATCAGTCAGGGAACTGTTCGGACTCGAGGGTTCAACCTCCTGATTAGTCGGTGCGGTTAGGGAGCCGTTCAGAATCAAGGGTTCAACCTCCTGATTAGTCGGTGAAACTCCGACGAAACAGTCTGTCACAGCCTGCCGTTTGTTGTCCTTTTCTGAGTTTTCTCCTGTTCTGCCTACAGTTAACCAGGCAGTTCTCTACACAATTGGAGATACCACAAGCAAATACCATATAACTAATCGGCTACACAAGTAGAATAAGCAACAACCCTACGAGATATACTGTCACATATCTATCAAGTTCGTATGAACTAGAAGAGTACACTTTGTGAAACACATTAAGTAAAGAACAGACAGCACAACGGACACTGAAACCATTCTTTTTGCCTTTTCCTGTGCAGTCTCACCCCCCCCCCCCCCCCCGTCTGCTTTCTTTTGTCTTTTTTTGTCATGGTTTCTCTGTTAGTTATTAAGAACGTAGTCAACACCACAAAGAATAAGGAAATCCCATCTAGACCTAAATGAAAATTGATATTTGAGTAAGGAAGCCATCGTCTTGTTTCAACAAATTGGAATTTAGCTGAGAATTCTCAAATTGTATCCAAAACAACAGAGAGTATAAAAAAGTGATCAAAGAGGTGCAAAAGGCAATACTTCGTATCAACCGTATTTTCGAGTTAGCACCTTTACTGTGCCTCTCAGGTGCAAATGCTCTCCATGTTCATGTAGTTGAGTGTGAGCTGCCTACCCCCAGCTGCACCATATGTACCCACTTGCAGACTGTTAAAACGCCAATACACGGCCCCAACCTTGCTGAAAATGAACTCGTTGCCCATTCTGCGCCTTGGACCTACCAGACCACAATGGTTGGCTGCATGCTTCCTGGATGTTTCCGCCGGGCCAGCCAAACAAGAAGAGAAATGTGCCGCTGGTGGTTCGGCAAAGCTTGGCGCGCAGTGGAGCGCCCCCAGGCCCAGGTACTGGTGGTTTAAAAAGAGGGAGAGCAAAGGGAGAGGGGATACAGAGAGAGGAGAGATGGAGCGATGGAAACAAAGAGGGGAAAGTAAGAAGTGTGGAGTAGAGATGAGAGCATAGGTAACGATGAGAGAAGACTCTGGAGAGTCAGTTTGTCCTTGACGACAGAGGGGACACGAACGCTAGCGATGAGATGGCTGATAACATGGAGGACCAAGCTGAGCATTCGCAGCACAACAGAGCTGTTGGCACAACAGCTGGCATTAATCATGCCCACCGAACACTCCCGACAAGTGGCATCTCGGGTGCAGGCCAGGAAGAAGGAACAACACGCATCGTACTTATTATCTTGACTGAGTGTCTGCGACTGGGAGTTCTTGCATGTGGAAAAGAAAAAAACTGCACATGGGACGACATGTGGTTCGAGGGAGTTCCTTGGGACCATGTGGGACAAAATGTGGTTCTAGTACCCTTCTACAGAACTTTTACCGTTCTAGGGAGCTCAATATGTTTTTGTTCCTAGAACCATGTGGGGGTTCATATGGGACAATATGTGGTTCTAGGGAGCTCCTGGGAGCAAGAGGGCTGGTTAGACCATAATAAGGGGTGCCGATTCGGACAGAGAATGTGGAGAGGTGTATCTCCTCCCACTGGAGAAGTCAGGCGCTCATGATGAAGCAGTAGGCCTATCAACATCAATGCCAATCTACCTTCCATGCAGGCCAACTTATGTGAGTTGGATTTTTTTCGGATTCTCCACAGAGGAGGGGATCTCTCAAAGAAACTGCTCTCTCAGTTTGCAGGTGATGCTCATTTTTAGCCCGTTGGGTTTTGTACTATTTGTGATTGGCAAGGTTTGCAACTGAACTGGTTGACATAAATTAACAATCTGACAATCTGTATAAAAAAAAAAAAAAAGTACTGCAGGAGTAAAAAACCTGACCTGTCCATGACCCCACACTTGCCATCAATGTATGGACAAGCAAAAAAAAAATAATAAAAAAATAAA